TTTATGGTGGTAACAAAACCCAAAGACACTTCAAAATCCTTAGTACAGACCCAGGGAACTGCCCGGCCAAATCAATCTAATGTAAACAAACATGCTGTCAGCTCCATTTCTCCCAGAAACAATCCACAGAGGAAAAAAAAAAGTTAATTAAGGAGTGACTGGATTGCAGCTAGCCATCTGGCTGCCTGGGAGCAGAGGTTGCTTTGTGCACCTGGGGCTGAACAGGCTTTAAGGAAGTGTCAGCTAGAGACCTGGGAAGCCTTTCCTTTGCCATGCTTAGCAGCAGGGAACAAAAGTGCAACAACCAAGAATGCCAGCGTGGCTAGAGTGTCCCTTCTGTCATCCTGGCATGATTTTAGGAATCGTCTACTTCAAATGTACTTTTGTCCCCGTAGCTGTTTGTTTGCCATCATACCTAGCCTGTATCAAACTGCTAATGAGCTTCATTCATTGTCCTCACTTACAGCTTGTGTAACGAATAGCTCTGAAGTGAGATATTATTAAACCTGTATGAATGTAATCCTTGGAGGTGATGAAACTCTTCTTAACTTCTGGCAAGAGGAGAGACAGTTGCATTTGCATTATGCTGTGATATTTATTTGCAGCTGACCCAGCATTATATCTGATTGGGTTTGCCCAACCAGGAGAACCACTCCAGGGCTATTCCTTGACGACCGTGGCTACAGGTGGGTCTGAACTTGGGACCTGAGGATGGAGATTCAGAAAACAATAAAGGGGGAATTACACCGAGCAGAACTCTATCCAGAGAATGGGATGAAAAGGAGAACTTCACTGCAGGTTCATGCTCATCTCCAAGAAAGCAAAGCCAAAGGATGAAGTTTATCTAAAAGGTTGCACCCCGCTTCCAGACAGCTGTGTAAGTTGTCTTTGGGGCTAGCTGGACAGGGGAGCTTGCTGCTTGGAGGAAACCAGGAAACAATCATGAAGGTCTGTCAAAATGGTAAAAGCCACTTTGTTTCAAAACTATTTGGCATATTAACTCATTCCCCCCTTCTTCCTCCAAGAAACAGGTACTGATTTGTTAAGCAGTTTAGTCAGATAAACTCAGTTTGCTTTTCCTTTCACAGTTTGTCTAGCGTAAGGAGTGGCTACATACAGTTCGCAGGCCTGCCATTGTCCAGGGAGCACCACTCCTGGGAGAGGTGGCGATTTACTGTTGCAGCACCAGCCCGGTGCCACCACGTCAGCATGCCCCGAGGAGGAGGAATCTCCACTGAGAGCTGCAGCCAGCTCCTGTGGCCTGTCACAGGCAGTGGGGACAGGGTCCAAGCCTTGAGTGATCCTCTCCAGGCTGTGACAAATGTCACGGCACAATTTGGTAATGGCTAAATCTGCAGTAGGTTCTTTTGATTAGGGACCAAAAAAAAAAAAAAAAAAAAGAGAGACCCCAAACTTCTCAGTTCATAACTACACTGGAAGGAGGGACTGGCTGACCTGTGCTTACAGCGTTCCAGGCTGTGACTCAGAACAGCAAGAGAGGCTGTTACACACCTCCCCGTGGGGCCTGGGCCCAACAAGCGAGGTTTGGGGAGCAGGCAGGTACTTCCCAGGCGTGGGATCGCCCAGTGGGTGGCTGCTGTAAAAGCAATCAAGCATTTCTGAGCTGCTCCCATGTTCTGCTTTCCTCCAACCAGCACAGGTGTCTGCTCCTCCATTTCCCGTGTCCCTGCCAGGATGTGAGGGATGAAAGGGAGACAACTTCCTAAAGTTTCTCCCTTTTCCAAAGGGCATGATCCCATCGCTGCCGCTCCATGCCAGGGCAATGGAGCGAAGGCCCACAGGAGCTGTGGGAAGAGCCAGGGCAGGGCTGAAAGGGCAGGACGGTGTGGATTGGATTTGTTTAAGGCTGTAGGTGACTGGTTGCTGGTTAGAGGTTATTCGTTGGCATATTCTAATTTTTGGACCATTTTGCATGTGCACAGCATGGTGTAGGTAGACATGCTGCGGAAATATTAATTGATAAGAACTGCAGATGTTCTCCCCTCTTTCTGAGCGTGTTTCAGGACACAACATAACATGCTGTGCATAAAAGAAGCTGCATTGGCAGCACAGTCAAATTTAGATGTCACTTTATTGTGCTGCTTCTAATATTATGAGCAGTTTTCAAAATCCCATTTGTAAGGATTTTGGTGCATTACCCCTGTTAAAGAGAATGAAATTTGCACACGTCTTGGGGACACAGCATGAGGCATACATGCTGTTTATTCCACACTGAAGCGAAAAATTGCTACCTGTTCAAATAAGGGGGATTTTGTTTTCTCCATGCGGTCGGCATGTTTTCACCTAGCTTCCCCAGACAACAGCTGGTAAGGAGCTGAAACTGCTGCTCTGTGTGCAGACTGTGCTTCTTTGGGATACAATTTTGTCTCTGTATGCCTAATGCTTATCAGGAGCTTGGACGATGAGTCTTTTTGCTGCTATTACTACTTACAGCATCACACACAGCAGACCATCATCCTTGATTTGAAGGCTTTGGCGCTGCTATTGTTTTAGTAATAAATACATCAATAAATAAAATGCTGGTTTTAGAGAAGAGGGAACTGAAAAGATTAAAATTGTTTCCTTAGATCAATTGCACTCTGGGAGGGTGCAGTAACTTGAACTAGAAACATTGGGAGAGTAGTAGAGTATGCATGTTGTGCTTGATAAATGTGTTTGCATGACCACTGTGAGAGAGATGGATCCACATGTCAGAAAACGAGATAAAGCAAAACATCTTGCTCTTCCCTTCCACCTCTGTGGGCTTGAGGGAGTTCTATCCTGTTCCCTCATTTGCCCATCTATAAATCTAAAATAATACAGACCTCCCTCACTGGAAGTTGTGTAAACAACTCATGACTGTACAATGCTAAATCCTGGAAGGAAAGTGCACTAGGAGAGCTAACAATATTCACTCCATGAATTATAGAAATGTGGCTAAACAAAATGATAGACAGAAGGAACCACTACAAATCCCCCTGGCTCCTAATTACCTGGGTGCATCCCTTCTTCTTTCAGTTAGCACTGACTGAGAGAGGGCTTGTATATAAACACTGGCATTTCAGGGATGGCAGGAAATCTGGAAAAGCCTTTGGAGATTAGCCTGAACAGTGGCTCTCGTGCTTGTGGCTGCAATCATGGGATGTTAAATCAAGTGATCACTAAACAGATGCACAAGTGAGCTAAGTCATAACGTGTCCTTTGCATCCAAGGTGTAAGTGTCTGCCCATGACCACTTGCCTTCCACGTTGGTGTTTTATAGCTCAAAATGTTGGCTCACAATGGTCTTCTAGACTGAGCATCAGTCAGCAGAGGGAAAAGCATTATCACCATCACTGCAGACACGTGTTAGGTAGAGTGGAAATCAGGTTTTGGAAAAGGCAGAGATCACATTTCCCAGAGCAATGAGAGGACTGCAAGGAGCTAAAAAGACTTTTGTAGGTGTCAAGCCTGTTAGGCTGTCTCTGAAATAACTATTGTAATGACCCTGGGATTTTGTTCTGCTATTGATTATTTCAAGTTGCCTACACAGAGCTGATACCTTGCTTAAGGCTTAAATCAGGGCATGTCTTGTATAACAATTTTTGTTGGGGTCTTGATGACAAATAAACATTGTCATTCTAGATGAGGGTGGAAAATCACTCTGATGCTGGGTAGAATTGTCACCTGGGCCACCTGGCAGACAGCTCTGCTTGAATAAAATGGAGAAGCTGTATGGCTTCTCTGATCTGCAGTGAGAAGAAGTGTTCCTTGAAGCTTCTTTGCATCTCTCCTGTGATTGTTTGTAAAATGCACACCTTGGCTATATGCTAGTTATATAACATTACCATGGTCTCTGGCTTTCTACATTCTCATGATACTGTTAACTAGTCAACTGCCCCTGAGGAAAATGTAGCAATAAAAGCAATTTACAGACTCCTTTAAAATGGATGAACTGATATAAAGCTAAAGCTTGTCTGAGGGCTGGTTGATCTACAAACCAGCCCAAAGATGCTTACTGAAGATCACCAGATGTGCAGAAAGCTTTTACAAGTAGACAAAGTCATCTCTGGACAGTGTCCAGAGTCAAAGTGCTTCCCACCAAACACAACAGCACACGACAATGAGACTTTACGCTCTGCAGGATGCAGCAGTTTATTTTAGAGCCAATTTTAGAGCCCAGTTTTAGAGCCCTGAGTTCAGAGGTGGTCCCTGGAGGCTGCTTAGTTTAGGCAACGAGAGAAGATGGGAACCCTGCAACTCCAGTATCTTTACCTGACTCCTGCTCCGGCCTCCCCTCGCAAGTAGCCACTCTCCCTGGGGGCGGATCAAGAACCTTGGCTTTGTGCTGAAGCACTTGTTTAAAGCCTGACAGTGGGAAAACATCTTTGCTGACTGTTTGGGAAGCACCTCCATTATGTCAGAGACCTGTTTAAAACGCCCATAATTTTGTTCACTTTCTCTAGGGGACCATCTCTGAAAGCTGTTTTGGTTTCCCATCAAGGGATAGGCCACAATCAGGTCTCTGATTTTGAACTTGCAGTCTGTTTGTAGGATTTTAAAGTCAAGAGGACCTGCTGCAACCTCTTCATCAGACCTCCTTCAGGCAAGCAATGCAGAGAGATTGCAGCCACTGCCTCATTTTTTTTCTCACCAGTAGAGATGTAGTTCCTGATGCCACAGCCACCATCACTAGGCTTCAGAGTTAACAGCTTACTAAGTGAATTCCAGACCCTATAGCGAGTGTGAAAAGAACGGCAAGTTAAGAGTCGTACCTGGGACGGCGATCCCTGCCACCGGAGCTCCAGGAACGCCTGACGCGATTCACATCCCCGGGAGCGGAGCCCGGGGTGTGGGGCGGGCATCTGGACGGGGCCCCCGAGGAGTTGGCTCAGGCCGCCTGCCTTCCCTTCCGCCTTCGTTCCACTGGTGGCGCGGCGCAGGGCACGGCCGGGACACCCCCCCAGTCGCCGCCGGGGCTCCCGCCCTCCAGCCCCGCCGCTCCCAACCGGCCACCGCGCCCCGCCGCGGCTCCGCCCCCGGGGCCGCCCCAGGTGCCGGCGGGGGGGCGGCTCCCGCCACGCGAGCAGCGGCCGCGGGACCTGCACGTCTCGCCTCGGCTCGGCTCGGTTCTCTTCGGCTCGGCTCGGCTCGGCTCGGCTCGGTTCGGCTCGGCTCGGCGCTCCCCCGCCTCAGGTAAGACGGCGCGGGCTTGCGGGTCCTTCTGCGGCGTTGCGCGCCGTCGGGGCGCAGCTTTCCCCCTCGAAAGTAACGGTGAGGGGGGACGGGCAGCGGGGCGTCACCCCGCCTCAGGCTCCCGCTGTGGGGCGGCGACCGCGCCTCGCCTCACCTCGCCTCGCCTCACCACCCCGTCCCCGCCGCGGGCCCGAAAACTCTTCCCGCCCTCCTCGGTCCGGAGCGTCGGGGTGGTCCCCGGGCTCGGCGGCTGGAGGTGCCCCGGCCCTGAGGAGCCCCCGCGTCGGCTGGGGTGCCGGTGGGTGCCCCCGGCAGGCAGCGACCTGCGGGGCGGGTGCTTTGTGCCCCCGAGGTGTGGTGTGAAAGGCAAGCCCCTCAGGAGCGGTGAGGAGGCGGAGGTCACAGCAGCTACATCTCTGAAATAAACAATTATCGGCAACAAGAGGTGATACAATACTGCTTTATCTTTAAAATACCTCGAGCGGTGTGGGGGGAGGCTGGAGACCGGGGCCTTCCCGGCTGTTTTCCAGCTGGTGTGTAACCTGTGTCAGCTTCTGTCACTCCGGGTGGTTGTTTTCTTCTCAGGGGGTTGCAGTAGTTAAAAACAAAACCTCTACGGCAGTAAAACAAACTGCTGGGAAACGCGGGATTTTGTTCTGGTTGTTGTTGCTCTTTGAAGGGGAGAGTGAGACCTGCTGCTGCCGGACTGCGCGGCTGCGCTCGGCGCTGGCTGCAGAACACCCGCCCGTGGATTTGCTGCTTTGCCATACAGGTGGAACTTGCAGACTGTGTGTGCACCCACGCCGCCCTATAGCAGTAGGCAGTGAGCCCATTCCACAGAGCCAAACAGATCAATCGTTCTAATTTAATTCGTAAAAAGTATAAGCCCTCCAATTTCTCCAGTTTCTGCTGCACAAAATACACATGGTCTTTTTGCCATATGTTCCGAGACTAGCCATTGTTTTTTCCCCGATGTTTTCTCTGTGCTTGCCAGCAGCAAGGCGGTGTTATCTGATGCACGCAGTAGCATCGTGCTGCGGGATCGCGGGTGATACTGCTAACACCGACACAAGCATTTCCACCTTTATGCCCTCTCCAAGCTGTCCTTTCCTCCTTAAGGCACGGGCAGCAGTGCGTTTGTGCTGTTCATCAGGTTCTTCTGACCTTAATTAAAACTAACCTGACCAAAAAGAAAACCCACAAACCCTGGCGCATGGGGAACTGTTAGTTTTAACCTGGATTTTCCCGTGGCCCGAGACAATATAAGACCGTGGCCTCAGAAGGAGGAAATTCATGTTTCTGTGCACTTCCTTGGTGGCAAACCTGGTTTCAACATCTCCTGCTTTGTTCCTCATTGCTCACTTCTGACCCAGTGCTGCACCCTCAGTTGTGCTAGTAACAGTTTGTAGGGCTTCATAGTAGCATGGATTAGCTTTGGGTTCAAATAAACTTATTTTAAGTGTTTTGTTGTTTTGTTTGTGGTTTTTTTTTTTTTTTGCTCTCAAGTTAAAAATGTCAGTCGAACTATAGTCTTGATATCTATATTTGAATGTGTACCCAGATCACAGGAGCACTGTTACTGGATTATAGTGGGTACAAGATTGAATCCGTATGCTGCCATATGTAAGCGTATAACTAAAAAGCTTCTATTTCCAGTTATTTGTGCTTGCTATCCTGGAAGTGGTTATATACACATTTACTGAGACCTTGGTGTGGTCACTGCCTTCAGGACTGTTTTATCAGGACAATTAGTAGTATAAGTAAGAAGAGGGACAAATAAACCAATCTTTAAATCAAGCTTCCTTTGCAATTTTGACAGTACTGCTGCCCTCTTCGGCTCTTACGCATTTTTGGGTAACAAACTGATGAGACTCACTAGCTTTAGGTTTTAATAGCAGTAGTTCTTGCTACATCTATGTGTAGCAAAGCAATACATGTAGTATTCATTAGCATGCTAATTGTCGTTGTCATACCTTAGTCATGTTGACTCGCATGTGTTTCGGACAGTTTTTCCTACTTTCATTTTCACATGATCTGATGCAGCCCCAGATCAAAATGGGCAGGTCGCAGCATCACTTTTCAGGGTCTTACATCACCTGCCTGGTCCTAGTGGCAGGGAAGGGCACTCATGCCCACTTAACCCTGCCCAGTAAGTCCATGTCTGTTCTCTGTTTCTAGTTCAGTTTGAGGAAGTAGGGTTTTTTTGAGGCAGTTCTCATTGAGACCCTAACATTGAGAAATGTCCTGAACTGGTAATTTCAGGTATCCTTCTGGCTGTAAAATGTGTCTTGTGCTTAAAGTTCTGCAGTACTTAGTGAGCTCCTGTAAATGTGTGCTTAGCTTACTGCAGCACAGTAGTATTTGATCTTTGACATAATCAGTAAGACTTATGTTTGGAAGTATTAGCTAATTAAAACATGGGAATTGCAAGGGTGCTTGTTCTAATCCCAGTTAGGAGGTGGCTTACTTTGCAGCCATCATAGCACAGAGAAACGAAGGAACTTGTTCATCACAGATTTTCTGCTTGGTGGAGGAGGACAAAAGGCAGCAAATTAAACTTCTGCACTGCAGAGGCATCCTGAGCTGGCCCTGTCTCTGTGTGGTTCTGGTTTACAGGTGGTTACTACAAGACAACATCAGCTTCCAGTCACCTGACTTTGTCAGGGCAGCAGCTTGCTTTTACCTATAAATGAAAGGTTTTAGACCTGGTGATGCAGAAATATCGGTAACTGTCTCCTGCGCACTGGTGGAGGGGTGTCTGCCTGAATCTCCATATGGCTTGACTAGCTCCAGATAGTATGAGTTCCATCATGTACCTGAAGTTGCCTTATTTTCCACCACCATAGGAGCGCATGATCACAGCTTTCTCTGTGGAGGGCTGTATCCCAGTGCAGAACGTAGTTGTGCCCTGCCTTCCAACCGGGGAAGGATCAGCTGGGACTTACATGTGTCTTGTAGCAGAGTTGGTACAGATTTGTCTCGTGTGTTGCTCTGAGTGCTTCTGTGTCACTGCTACTTCAGTGCGTTCATTCTCGGAGAAACTGAGGCAGAACTGCAAGGCTGGAGAGCTGATGAGAAGGGCACTGAAGTCTGTTATCTTGGCCTTCGTGGCAATGTTTGTAACGGGAAGCAAGGGCTTTAATGATGGTGAGTTTTGTAATAGCAATCAACCTCTTAAGCTTGCACTGTTCTCTGGAGACCGCTGGTTTCAGGGTCAGTCTCAGCAAGCGGTTCTGTAGGTCTGGAAATTGGCTGGCTCCTGGGGCTCCAAACTCAACGGAATATTCGGGGAATTGTGGAAATCTCCTCTGTATCTGCTCTTTAGGACACAGGGAGGATGTAAGTCTCTTGTTCCGTGCATTGTCTGGGAGAGAGCCGAGCTGGGCTCGGTTAGTGGCTCGTCTTTAGAAGGGGAGATATTTTTATTTTAAAATTTTTTTTCTGTATCTTCTGGAGTAGCATGTTTGCCAATAGGCATGGATCTATGTGATGATAAAAGAGCTGCAACAAAACCACTCACTAAAGAGAGTAAACGTGACAACTTTTGTTTCTTTACATTTTTTGCCATTGTAAACTTGGAGTGACTAATTCCTCCTTCCTGTGAGTTTTGTCGTGGTTCTAAAGTGGACTTTAAGGATGTTGAACATTACGCAGGAAATGGGAGAGGCATGGCTCCAGACACAGAGAGGCATTTGCCTCGAGGAAATCTTTCTAACAACAGTCCCAGCCTGTTGCCTAACAAATTAGAGAGTTAATGGGAAAGGGGGGATATGCACAGGTTTTTGACTTTTGTTCCACAGCCAGCAAATTCTTTGAAGACTTCTTAAAGTCTGTGTGCCCAAATCTGAATGGGTAGTAATAAACGACCACCTACATTGCTTAGAGGTTTTTATTCTTCAGTGGTCATGCATATATTGAACTCATTTGTAGCATGTGAATTTTGGACCAAATCTACTACAAGCATCTTCTTGCAAAGACTTCTGGACTCATTAATAAATCTATTTTAGTTTTTGCTGTCAAGATGAGGGGCTGACATTTTTAAAGCAATAAACATGGATTTAATTTTCTTTCTGTGCACACTGTTGAATTATTTTTGTTGTAGGTCTATCAAGTTATTTGGATGACACCTCAAAATCAAGTTCTGGACAGTGTGAGCCAGAGGCTGTCACAGAGCGCAACTGTTGTAGAGGGCAGGGGTGTGAGAACGGAAGGAAACATAACCAATACAGAAAAATGCGCAATACTTTGGGCAGGAGCAAGGTGCTGTCTTGTTGCCAAGTGAGGTGATTGTCCATTGTGTGGATCATGAGAAAGGATTTGTCCTTGTTTGATCCAAATTCCGACCTGGAATAGGTGGCTGCAGCTGGTTATTTACATAAGGTCTGAGTTTGTCCGCATGTTTTGTCAGTCTCCACAAGGCAAGATAATGTAAGTCAAAATGACAAATGGTGGTTTACCCTGGTTTACTGGAGAGAAAATGCACCTAAGACAAAGTTGGCTTTTAGATTATATTAGCCACAAAGAAGAGGACTAAATTCTGTTTTGCTTCTCTGCTCTAAATCTGGAGTAACGATTACTTTAAGACAGTTATTTTTGTATAGAAGTGCTGTAAATTGCAGATATTTCCATGTCCTATTGCAGTTTGCCTTACAGCACAGTAGACTTTGACCCAGGCTTTGTGCAGAACACAGATGTATTTCAGCTGCTCCTTGGTGCTATTTACTTGCTGCCTTTCTGCACGAAAGGTGTAATGGTTCCTATCTGGGGTTTCGCATCCACTTGTAGGATTTACTTGGAACTTTTATTTTAGACTAATCTAGATAATGTCCCTTTAAAAGTTTTTAAACTGATGGCTCCAAGTATCTGCTGTTATTTTAGTATCTGTCACTAACTCAAGCACTGTTTCTGTTCTCTTTGTACTCTTCAGGGCTTTCCCCTTTACCTTCAGTGAAGGAAGCTCACACCTCCACCCAGCAGCGTGTTCACAATCTAACCTGCCC